GTGCCATCAAGACATTCCACCATCCACACGGTTGTAAAATTGTATTTCCTTATTGATCACATGATGTGGGGAGAAACAAAGGTTTCAGGCCAAATGTTCCACCACGGTCTAGATCTTCCATCTGATTCCAACCACAGTCTTCATTCCACTCACAACATTTATTAAATCCCAGTAGGAAGCAAAGGTGCAATCCTATGTTGTATGTTTACTTTGGAGCTTGACCATAAACTATCCCTATCCATTCCAAATTTTTTATTATATCTCTCATCCACCAGCACATAAAATATTTTGGATTTCCTGAAGAAAAACTATTTTCAAATCAATTGCAATCGTTTCAAGTGCTGGGGAGGCACTTCTTACCTCTTTCGTGATGTAACCATCTTTATTTATGTCATACAAATTAAATGCCCAGTTGAGTTTTTCTTGTACTGTCCCCCGGAGCAAAATGGAAAGACCCTTGATGAAATCCTAAAACAAACCAGAAGATTAAAAAATAATAATTTTATATGACATTATTAGACAACCGAAAACAAACTCCATTAACATTACCTCTCAAATGAGGGACGCCAGGGTTATAACTCTCCAGATTTTGAATCATTGATTTAGCAGATTAATGAGTCTGTGATCATCTGTTTCTCAGAGCGCTTTGTAGGTAGAGAGCACTCCTTAGTCTTAACAGTCACACTTTCTAATTGAGAGCTATGAATTCAATCTACTGCGGCGCTAGAAATTGAATCAGAACGCACACCTGAACAGCAAGACCCTGGAGTGTAAGCGCGGCTGGCTTCCATTACAAGTCCACACGATTTGCTGAAAAGAATCTAATCACCTCGTATTTTAAGGGGAGGGAGGGCAGTGCCTCATACCCATGATCCTAGCACACTGGGAGGCTGCAGAGGGCAGACTGCTGTGCTTAGGAGTTTAAGACCAGCCTGAGCAGGAGCAAGACCCTCTTTCTACTAAAAATTAAAAAAAAAAAACTAGCCAGGCATCATGGTGGGTGCCTGTAGTTCCAGCTAATCAGGAGGCTGAGGCAAGAGGAGTCCTTGAGCATAAGAGTTCAAGGTTGCTGTGAGCTATGACATCATGGCACTCTACCCAAGGCAACAGAATGAAATTCTGTCTCAAACAAAAAAAAATCAAACAACCCTCCCCCCAATAAAACACTATATTTTTAAAAATATAAGCATACATTTAACATACTTGCAATAAAAAGATTTGCTAACAAGTGGAGCTGTCCATAAAAGCTGGCCCAATTGTAGTCGTTAGTTAGAAATCCAATTATAATTTACACGTGGGCAGTGGCTAAGAGCGGGAAGCTGGAAACCAGACTGCCTGGTTTTTCCTCTACACTTTTTGGAGCAGTAATTGAAATCTCTCAAGTAGAAAGTGGCCAGTTTAAAAAAATGATGATGACAACAACTCTCAGAGAGTAACTTCACAAATTACCCTGGGCACAGAGGTGACACTTATCCTCTAATGCACAAAAATGATAAGGGGCAGGGGTCTGCATTGAATTCTGGTTTCCATTCTCTTCTGAGGAAGGCTGAAGAAGGGAAAAGGCATGGAGATTTGACTTTATAATAACCTGTACTTGTTTAGTTGTAAACTTTATTCATCTACCAAATCTTTACTGAGGGCCTCCGTGCTGGTCCTTCTGCCAGGGACCTTACCTGCCCATCCAAGCCTGCCATGGCTTAGAATGAAGAGTTTGCAGGTAGTTGCATTACTGGGTGATGACACGATTGATGTTATTATTAATTGGATTTGTTTGAAAAATCCCCCAACTAATAATGACTACGGTTAACATCTCATAAATATTGAGCACATATTTGGTACCAGGCATAGAGCCAAAGCTTTAACTGACATTATGATTTTTAATCCTCACATTATCCCATGGTGGCTCTTTGGTTACTGATGTATTACAGACATGAGCACTAAGGCCCAGAGAATTTAAATACTCATCCCAGGGCCTCGAGCCACTTGGTGACACAGATCTGTCATATCGAGATGCCAGGCCTCTCCTGTCTTAGTCATTCTGCCCTTCAAGTTCAAGCAAATTAAGTGGAAAACTTCTGTTTTTCCTTCATCATAGAATCAGATGGTCTCCCTACTATACCTCCCAGAATGCTATTGCTACCCCCAAAGTGTTTAATCCCTAACCATTTCTGTTCTCTAAGGACTTTCCAGGGCAGGTAATTGATTTAGAAGAAAATAACTGTAATAGCTTAGTTTTAAATTCTATTTTGCTTCAACCTTTATTAATTTAGCCATTAGTTGGCCTTTAAAAGGAAAGGCATTTTACCAACATGCATATCATGTATAACCATTACAACTAATTTTCCAAATTATAATCAACGTTCATCACAATTACCAGCATTTTACATAAATATTATAAAAGCAACCTTACGCACGGTGCCCTATCATTAATACCAGACTAAATTTACATGTAAAATTGGTTATAATATGGGCCTTGGGAAAACCAGTGTTCTATTTCTGATACATAAATAATGTCAACTATTGAAATAACTATCAGTATTTGCCCTCCTCATCTTCTGCAAACCAGTTTTGTATTTGAGGCCACGTGCTGTGGCTCATGTCTGTAATCCTAGCACTTTGGGAGGTCTAGGCAGGTAGATTGCTAGAGTTCAGGAGTTCGAGACCAGCCTGAGCAAGAAGGAGACTCCGTCTCTGAAAAACAGCTGGGCATTGTGTCAGGCACCTGTAGTCCCAGCTCTTTGGGAGGCTGAGACAAGAGGATTGCTTAAGTCCCAGCCAAAAGTTTGAGGTTGCTGTGAGCTATGCTGCCACCATACTCTACTGAGGGCAACAGAGTGAGACTGTCTCAAAAAAAAAAAAAAATTCTTTAACTTCTATGTTATAGGAAAATTGAGGCTGGCCTGGAATTAATCTTGTTGGTAAAATGCAGCTTAGCACAGATGATTTAAGTTGACATTTGCAGAGGAAGAAATGTCACAGGACACTGTTGCCTAGAAGACTCCCCTGTCATCCCCTGTCCCCTGCTAACCGCTCTTCCTCACCCGGGTAAACCCGTCCATCTCTGCTTCTCAGTTCCTGCCATCTCCTCAGCCATTTCCGGCTTCTAGTCTCTTCTCAGTGACACCCCTGGGTGACATTTAGTGAGTCCACCTTTCTATTAGTGCCGTCCAGTTTGCATGAGGACAGGGCAAAGCGCGGGAGAGGAGCAGTGGCTGAGCTGAGCGGCACTGCGGAAGACTGCCCCTTCCCTTCTCGTCCTGACTCCGCAAAGCCCTAGAACCCACCGGGCTGCCTGTCGCCATATCAACTTTGATTCTCTTAAGCACGACAGACTTTGTTGCAATATAATTCTACCAGCTTTATTTTAATATCCTTCAAACTCGTTTCCTGTTTCACCTCAAATGCCCTCTCTGCAATTCAGGCTTTCAGCATCAGCTCCCATCTGGACTCTTGGAATAAATAGCTGTTAATTGCACTTGGTATTTCCAGGAACATAGCTGGGGATGTTGACATCCCTGCCAAAAATTCCTCAAGGACTCCTCAGCTCTTAGAGCGCAGTCCAAGCTCCTGGGCACTCTGCATGCAGCTTGTCAGCATGTGGCTGCGGCCTCCTTCCCTGGCATCCCCCTTCCCTGGCATCCCCTCTCCGCTCCTGAATTTCGTATTCTCTCTTCTCCGTGATCACATTGTTTTCTTTTCTTTCCGGGCTCTTCCTTGGTTCCTGGGCCTGATCCCCTCTGCCTGGCCTCTGCCTCACTGCCCACTGCTTCCCATCCCATCCCGAGCCTTTACTCCTCCTGAGCTGCTCCAGCTCTGGGGGGATCCTGAAGGGGGCAGGGTCTTTCAAGACCTGTGGAACCGGCGGCGATCCCCATTCTCGCCGCCCTGCTTGTCCTTCAAACTCAGTCCCTCAGTCCTGCTGGGCAGGCTCCAGCCACTGCCCTCCTGCCACCACTAGC